TGATCCGCCCCTTGGATACTTGTGTGGGGGATTTCAGAGTAAAGAAACACAAAGGGACAAGTTTCAAGGCATTGGGGAGACTGGAGAAGCTTCCCTTTAGTAGACTAGTTTGGCTAGCTCCACTACCATTCCACTTTTATTAGCCAGCAAGAAGCACAGGGATTAGGCGAGATAGCTCAGCTGTCTAAAGCTCCTGCTTAGATAAGTGAAGAGACAGCGGTTCAATTGCTGGCCGCCCCCATGGCAGGCTGAGCCTGCCACAGGAAAAAAAAAAAAAAAGCGCAGGGGGAGGGGTAGCAACACTTGCACGGAACAGCAACTATAGAGAATGGGTAGATGTGGAATAAGTTAATGAGGAACCATATTTTCTCTAGATGTCTGCATTTTGACAACTGTCCTCACAGATGTTATCTTGCTTCAGGAATGCTGGATTATCAGTACTCCACCCAGAGCCAGGAGGTCTTCCCTGTACCTCCCTATTCCTGAGGTGTTTGAGACAACACCAAAATCTGAGTGAAGTTTGACATATGTAGTCTAGTCCCAGGTACAGCAATCTGGTAGACATACAGTGGCAGATGTATCTGTTCTGACTTGTTCCTTAGAGTTCGATCTCTTCATTCCCAGGGTTCACGCTGGGGTTCAAACATCCATGTTTTCCCTATCAAGTAGCCTTGCATCTCTAACACAACTATGTTAATCAGTTTGAGGGTCTTATTTACTTTCCACTGGACTTAAGGGGCTACAAAAACCTCAAAGGGCACACTCTTCTCCCAGACCAGGGTCACTGTGGTTTTCTGATAATGGTCTCAGTTTGCCTTTGGGAATCTAGCTGTACTCTCAGGCTATGGGTTTTCCTGGGCATATATCTACTCTTTGGCTCCAGCTTTGGCATGCACGCCAGACCTGACCAATCAGAGATAAACTGGGATATCCTGTCTCCTGGTGCCTGTAGTTGGTTTGAGACTGAACAAATGCCCTCCATTGGGACAGTGAGTATCAGCTGTGGGACTTCTGCTAAAACTCCAGAGAAAAAAGGTACTGCTTTCTCTCTGAGGTGGCTAAACTGTACACGGTAAACATGGAGGAGTGGGAGGCTCCACCACAAATAGGTGTTTTGAGAATGAGGCTGCTTCAAATAGCCACTCTCCACTCCTTCCCTAGGAGTATAATTTTTAGCTGCGCACATGGTTACATAGCTAAAGATACACCTTCCAGCCCCCTCCATGGCCAGATGGCATTTTTCCCAGAAGGTCTTGGCCTTTGGCAAGTGCGTGGAAGTGGTGTGTGCCACTTGTGGGTGGTACCTTTAGTGGAAGGAGGGAGGCCTGACCACTTTCTCCTCCCTTCCAGCTTGTTGAATGTAGGCGTGACAGGGAGCAGATGAGGGTGATATAACCTGGCAGAGCCACACGATCAAAGGGGCCTGTGTCAGAGGAACCAAACGGGTTATACTCGAACTAGTCAAGAGACAGAAATAGACTTCTGCCGAGTCTACACCATGTAAAGTTTGAGCCTCTATTAACAGCGTTTGAACTCAGAGCCTACCTAATAACACAGTAAAAGGGAAAGGCAGAGATAAAGAATGAAAAGAAACCCAATCCTAGTGCCATTAACGATACTGTTAGGATTCAGGGTATCTCTCATGACAGGGAAGGGTCAGGGAGATAGCTCAGTGGAATGAGTGCTTACCTGAGTTCAATCCCCAGTAAGGTCCTGAGTTTGATCCCCGGTACCACCAACCCCCCAAAAAAAAAACAAAACAAAAACAAAATAACTCATGACAGGGAAGTTGTCGTTTTCCCCATCATAGGAGATACCTCCCACCAAGATGTAGCATCGTTGTAGAAGCAGCCACAGTGGTCTCAGATACAGTCTGTGCCCTCAAAAGTGAGATAAGGGGGCCGGGGAGATGGCTCAGTAGAATGAGTGCTTCCCTGGCAAGCACAAGGGCCTGAGTTCAATCCCCAGTTCTGCCAAAAAAAAAAAAAAGTGAGATTAGGGTCATGTGCACACTGAGTGGGATTAGCAGGCAGAGTATAGTCCCCATCACAAACTTGTGCATAGGGGCTGTAGTGACACGAGTGGACAGGCCAGGCACACTAGGGACGCTGGGGAGGGGAGTCGGTGC